TCGGTAAAAAGCTATTCAACAACATCACCACGATGTTCTCGGTAAAAAGCTATTCAACAGCGCTATCATAATATTTATAGCGATAGCTTATGAACGCACTATCATGGGGTTCCTGGTGATACCTTATCATCAACTCCATTATGATGTTCCTGGAGATACTTTGGTGAACAACGTCATCATGATATTACTGGTGATACCTGATCAACAACGTCATCATGATATACCTAGTGTGGCCTGATAAACAATTTCATTATGATGTTTCTGATGTCAGATAAACACATGTGAAAAGTTCTGTATTTTGGTGATATTTTTATTTTCTCAGATTTTACAACTTTTTAATAGAATTTTAAAAAAAAAATTTTTGACTTCATTCCACACATGTCAGTAAATAAATCTACAGCCTTAAACTGTTACTCAGAGCACCTTGGGTGTCTCACATGCCTAAATATTTGAAAGTAACCTTAAAGCTTGTACGTATTCTAAACAAACGTTTTCTTATAAATTTCACGGTGTATTCTATTTACATATTTAACAATAAACTCTTAAAACATGCTACATAATCTACAAGATATTTGTTCAAAATGGTAGGGTATTGTACTTACTTGTCTGATAATAAGTTCTCCATCTTGGTATGTTTTTGGCATCAAAGCATCACAGAGATTCATTCTTTCATATGGCTGAAAAAACTGGGTTATTAATACAAGTCTAATAAGAAAATTAACCTTAACCTATAAATCTATTCAGTAAACTATGTATATTCCAACCCCTTGGTAACATTAAGTATTTCTTACATGTTATTTAATTAAAACATTTGATATAGATTCAATTTAATCATGTACACGCACACACACAGTTAAATTTAAGTTGTTGTTTTTTTTCTAAACGCCAATTGTATAATAAAACTAAAATATGAATACTTACCAACTTCTTAAACATAAAATTTCACTGTTTAAATATTTTATATTTTTTGAACTAATTGAAATATTTCAGTAAAAAAACTAGTTTTCAATAAATTTTTATACGAAGGAAATCAGATTTTTCCTTCTCCATGGATGAATTCATAAAGCCAATCCCCGAAAATTGAAGGAAGATTTTTCCGTTCGTAATGACTCAATTTACTATGTTTTTTGTTTTATAAATGATCAATGCTTCCTTCTTCCTACACACTTTCATTCAATCACAAATCCTAAACGGGAAGCTGCTCATTAGCTGGATTTTTGAGAATCTATTTTAATGGACTTCATGTGAGGTTTAGAACTTCATAAGGGTTAATTAGAGAGAATGGATCGTATTTTATTTACAAAACAAGACTACAAGAAATATCGTAATCAAAAGTACAAAGGAGTTGGGTAGGTATTTTAGAGCGTGGGGAGTTTGCTTCAAATTAAGATGTATTAAAGCATTGCGATGAATTGTATATGTTAATCTCTTCTTGTTTAGTAGTATGTGACTTTTATGTACAAAATTCCTACAACATAACAGATTCAACTTAATACAATACTATAATCATTTTAGACACTTCAGAAGTTAACAACATCTATTGTAGAAAACATTTCCTTATTAATCTACAAGTACAGAGTAGAGCCACGGAGGGGGGTTCTCTGGAAAGTATGATGGTGTGAGAGGTCAAATGTAAATAGACGGCTTTAGCTTAGAAGGTGGTAAAGATAAGGGATGTTATTTTAGAATCAATAAAATGTTATAACAGGTGACAGTACAAGAGATTACTCGTGAATAAGAAAAACATCATGGCAGCTGTTTGGGAGAAATGTTAGTTGCGAGTGAATATTTATAACTTTTGAAGTGGAGAACGAGAGAGAGATTACTTGTGAATGAGAAAAAACGTCTTGCGGATTGGAGTTTTTTCTGGAAGATTTAGAGGCTATGATACTTCATGGTGAGAAAGTTTACCTGTTTATGACAAAAGTATATGACAATTGGTGTTGAGTGAGATCATTTGTAGATGAGAAAATGACAATATTTGTAGAGTAACTTGTGAATGAAGGTTTCTAACACTTGTTTATGAGTGAGTTTCTTTGTGGATGTGAGAAAGACTAAAACTGTTTATAATGAAAAACGAAGTTGTGAATAAGGATTATTACAGTTAGTAAAAAAATCTATCTGATTCTTCTTGCTGAGAGGGGTTATTTATGGATTAGAGAAACAATATGACTATTTATGGTGAGAGAGACTATTCAAGGATGAGAGAAAGACCATGGATACTTGAAGATGAGAGAAATGCCATGGCTTTTTGTGATTTGAAGAGGGTACTGAGGATGGGATAAAGGACATGGCTACTTGTGGTGAGATAGACTACTTGAGGATGAAAGAAAGTCCGTGGTGGTGAAAAATGCTACTTCAAGTAGAAAGAAAAGCTGTGGCTGATTATGGTGAGAGAGGCGCCACTTGAGGACGAGAAAAAAGTCGTAGCTGCTTGTCATAAGAAATGCTATTTGAGGATAAAAGAATAAAAGAAAGTCCATGGTGATGAAAGATGTTATCTCTGGATGAAACAAAAGCCATGTCTGGATGTGGTGAGAGAGACTACTTGATGAAAGAAAAGCCATGACTATTGTGGTGAGAGAGACCACTTGAGGATGCGAGAAAAGTTATGGCTGCTTGTGGTGAGAGAAGCTACTTGAGGATGAAAGAAAAGTCATGGCTGGATGTACTGAGAGAGGCCATTTGATGACAAAAGAAAATCCATGTCTGGATGTGGTGAGAGAGACTACTTGATGAAAGAAAAGCCATGACTATTGTGGTGAGAGAGGCCACTTGACGATGAAAGGAAGGCTGTGATATACTGATTTATGTTTAGACTTGGTTGAAGTAGTTTAATGTATAAGGACTAGTTGATCCGAAGTCTTTCCTCATTCGAACTACAATCCATTGTCTTAAAGTGTTGGTTGTTTACTGGCGTTCTACATACCTGAGCTCGTACTTAGACAGATGACTTTTTTTCTTGAGCTGTAGTTTTGTGTTTTAGTGCATGTTTCAAACTATTCAACCTAAATTAATTCTACATATAGATAACATATGATCGATTTTGGGCAGTACTTCTGTCCTTAAAGCTAAACAGAATTGAATTCTTAGTTGTGGTTTGAAAATAGCTTTCAAGTCGACCTGTGGATAATATATTCTCAAAACATTTCTTGCTCTTCTTTTTAAGCTAGTAGTGTGTCTGGCTAGGTGTGATAGGTCAGCGAATAACATGTTAAGTTATGAACGACAGCACTGGCGGTTTCGTTTTTCTAGCTGTACACCGTTTACAACTTTGAACGAAAAGTCGCTCTTCAGTAACACATTGTGAATTTCATTAGTTCACATTTGTAATATATAACAGTACTGCGCAACTAAAAAAGCCCTGTGGATTAGAATGAAAAATAAGTTATTTTTAGAGTTATCTGGAATAAAGCTTTCCAAATTAGAATACAACTGGTAAAATATTTTTTGTGATAAAAATCAATTTCAAATCATTTACTTTTGTTTCTAATCTTAGTGTCTAAAAAGGGTAGTTTTGAATTTAATACATTCATGATGTTGACTGAAATAATTTTAATTCCCTTCTTAAATACTGTGAATGTATTACTAACATATTTTTGGTAAATAAGAGATTTGAATTTGTTCGGACAGGTTTCTAACGCTCATTTGTTAAGCGGAACAACATTGAATCAAACGTAATCAAGCGGTTAATCGTCCATTCAGTTTTGTAAACTTTGTTCACATGTCACTTTGATTTCTTTATTAAGTAAGATGTTAGAATATAAAGATGTTGTATTAAAGCCACTTCAAAAACTGTATCATAAAATTTTCAATCATTAACAAATGAAGTATACTCGAAACTCTCGTCGTTCTAAGTATTTAAAGCCTTTCTAATATACTTTTATTCAGTACGATAATACCATTACCTTTGCCAGGTTTTAGAATAACTGTAGTTTTCGTAAGTTTATTAAGTTTATTAATGCTTCTCTTTCACCTTTATAAAATAATTTTTGGGGATTTAGGTTTTTACATCATACTCTCGGTAACAATCCAAGTCAATACTAGATATCATTGTAGAAATACCAGAAACAGTTGAATTTTTTGACAAAACTGAGAAATCTTGTAATTTATCATAAGAAGTTCCATGTGTGAAAATAATATCACAAAATATATTTTTTTTTTCTGGAGGGAGAAACAGGGATTTTGTGGCCACTACACAGTGAAATAAAAAGTTTATTTTGTGGAATGCTTTTTTCTCCCATGAAACTATTTCTTAGAAAATTAGAAGATTTTTCAATATCCTGAAACAATTCACAATTTTATGATATTTGTAGAATGATATCTCGAAATGTCTTGAAGTTGTTCCAGGAGTGCAATGGAAAACCTAAGCCCTATAATATTCCTGAATGTGAAAAAGAAGCATTAACAAACTTACAAAAATATAGATATTTTAAAACCTGTTAAAGTTAATGGTGCTGTCCTACCGAATAAAGGTGATTATGTTAGAAAAGTGTTAAATATTTTGAACCATCAGAGTAAATTCAGAAACTAATGAGGGACTTTACAGTTAAGAGAGAACACAAGTTACAGAAATGTATTTTCAAGAGAGAAGGAGTTATCTATCAACAACCAGGTTTACAACAAAATCACGCCTGTATAATAATGGTCTAGCATTTTATACGATTTACCGAAGGTTCACAAAAATGATGTTCCAATCAGACCTATAGTATCTAATATTAGCAAATTTAGCAATGAATTACCTGGCTTGTATTTACTTGATCGGACAGAGGTTATGATAGCTGATTGTGAAGTAGGTTACTAGTGGATAAGAAGGCGATGACTGTTAATGCTGAAAGATGTTACTCTTTGATGAAAACAAAATGTTTATGTAGCTCGATCGTACAAAATGTTATTTGTGGTTGAAAGGAAGACTATAACTATTTATGGTAATAAATAGTATGCAACTATTTATGATGAAGGAAAAACTATAAGTATTAATGGTGAAAAAAAGGCTACAACTATTAATGGTGAAGAAAAGGCTACAAATATTTAATGTGCAAAAAAGACTAAAACTATTGACGGTGAGATAAAGGCTACAACTATTCATTGTGAAAGAAACTACAGCTACTTCTGGCAAAAGGAAGACTACTACTATTTATCATGAAAGATAGGCTAAACTATTTATTGTGAAAGAAAATTACAGCTATTTATACTAAAGAAAAGACTACAAATATTTATTGTGAATGAAAGGCTATAGCTATTAATGGTGAAAGAAAAACTATAATTATTTATAGTGAAAGAAACACTACAACTATTTATAGTGAAAGAAAGGTTTCAACTATTTATGGTGAAAAAATTTGACAGCTATTTATGGCAAAAAAAAAGACTACAAATATTTATGAGGAGAGAAAGGCTGCAACTATTGATGGTGGAAAATAGACTGCAATTATCTATGATGAAAGAAAAACCACAAGTATTAATGATGAAAAAAGCCTGCAACTATTTATGGTGAAAAAAATGCTACAACTATTTATGGTGAAAGAAATGCTACAACTATTTATTGTGAAAGAAATGCTACAACTATTTATTGTGAAAGAAATGCTACAACTATTTATTGTGAAAGAAAACTACAGCTAATTATGACAAAAGAAAGGTTACAACTATTTACGATAAAAGAAAGGCTACAACTATTTATCATGAAAAAAAAACTACAACTATTTACGTCAAAAGAAAAACGACAACTATTCATAATGAAAGAAAGGCTACAACTATTGGTGGTGAAAAATATACTGCAATTGTTTATGATGAAAGAAAGACCACAAGTTTTAATGGTGAAAAAATGCTACAAATATTTATGGTGAAAGAAAGACCACAATATTTTGTGGTGAAAGACGTACCTACGGATGAAGTAATGTTTATGACAGTTAATGAGAAAATCTATCCTTAGATGTAGAAAGCTTATGACTGTTAAAGGTGAGGGATGTTGTTTGTAGATGAGAGAAAAATCTATAACTGTTCAAAAATGACTGCTAATGTTACTTTTAGATAAGATCAGAGAACAATTTTTGATTAGTGGTAAAAGACTACCTGTGTATTAGAGAATAGTTTAAGTAATTTCTGGAAGGATGTCTTACCTGTTGATTTGGCAGATGATACGATAGTTGGTTGTGAAGTAAATTATTTGCGGATATGAAAAAGGCAACGACTGTTTAGTGGATTTGAAAAGTTTGTGATTGTTTGTGGTGAATGATGTCACTTGAAAGTTAAAGAAAGGCTCTTCGTGTATATGGTGAGATGGGTTAGTTAACTGTTGATTGCGTGATGTGTTATGACAGATAATGGTGTCTGAGGTTATTTGGGATCAAATGACATTTAAGGGAGATGATGATGAGTAAGATTACTTGCATATTAGATAAAAGATTAAGACTATTAATAGTGAGAGAATGTACTCGTAGATGAAAAAAAATTTATGACATTTGTAGGATAGAGAGAAATTAGTTGTTAATGAAAAAGTGTTTATGACAGTTGACGGTGAGTGAGGTAATTTGTGATTGTGTTAAAGTTGATGACTATTTATTGGGAGTAAGATTACCTGTGGAGGAAAAACTTTGACTGTTCATGGTGAAACTACTGTCTTGTTGATCAAACACATTTATGATAGTTAATTGTGATAAATTACTTTTGAATGAGCGAAATCTTGTTATTGTTCTTTTTAGAGCAAAGCCACACAATGAGCTATCTTCACTCTTTACACCTCTTTTAGGGTTGTCAGTCCATAAACCTAATGTGGACTCACCGGGGGACATATTACTGAAATGCTATGATTTTGTGGTAGGGGATGTTACTTGTGAATGAGGAGAAGCATATAAAAGCTGAATGAGAGCGTAGGCATTGTTGATCGGAGAAACTTTATAATAGTCGAAGGAGACATCTGTTACCTTGTGTTCTGAAAATGTTTACAACAGTCAACAGTAAAAGAGTGTAGTTGTTGGTAAGATAAAGTTTTTCTGTGTGATAGGTCAAACCTACCTCTAAGGACTCTAGCATTGGCACCTTTTCAAGGAGTGTTTCGTATTCCTTTCTCTTTTTGAAGGCACTCTTCAGGACTATCTTTCTGAACACTTGTCGGCTCTGAGTGTCCCCATGTAAAGAAATATGTTTATTCAATACGTTCAAACAGGGAAAAGAAAAATGTAATGCATTAATCATGTAATATAAATATTAACTTTTAATTCTCAATAAACGTGTACAGATATTTCATAAAGGTATCATCTACATTTAAGAAAATACGCTTAAGTTTTCTTTAGGTCTGTTTTCAGAAAAATGAAATTTTCACGTCCTTTATCCTTCCATGTTTTTTTCCTGAAATATTGGTTTACTACATGAGTATGACTAAATACTACACCTGCAGTTTAGTTTTAACCAAATAATTATCTATATTATAGTTGACTGGTTACCCGTGACGTACATATATAAGTACATATCTGTCATCAGAAGTTCTATGAGTTTCTGACTTGATCTCGTTTCGCATAAGACACATGAATCAACGGTTTTAATTATTCTGATATTTATAAATACAACGCTCGGTTATGTAAAATTGCTTCTGAAATTATGTGTGTAAATGTAAAAGACAGTATTATAGTAAACCTATGAATAGCGGAATAAAGAATAGATAATTATTTAAAAGGAAGTATGTTATTAATGTGAACAAACTTATTGCTGAAATTCCCGTGTGCACGTATTTGTAGTGACGTGTAGTTTTACCAATTTAGGTAGCTTTACAGCTACCACAAGTGTATTTATATACGACCCACGAGCGTTTTTAGTTTATTATATACAACTAACTTAAATTAACCGTGTCAGTACAAACTTCATTACTAAGTATTATACATTATAAAACACACAACACACCAACCGTGTCAGTACTAACTTCATTACTGTCATACATTATAAAACACACAGCACATCAACCGTGTCAGTACTAACTTCATTACTGTCATACATTATAAAACACACAACACACCAACCGTGCCAGTACTAACTTCATTACTGTCATACATTATAAAACACACAGCATATCAACCGTGTCAGTGCAAACTTCATTACTGTCATACATTATAAAACACACAGCACGCTAACCCGCATTACTGCCAACTTCCTATCACACTACAAGTAGTCATCGTTTTAATAAAATGTGGAAAAGCTGATTATGTTTTCTAAGACGCATTGTTTCTATTTATTTATGAATATTGCAACGCGATAATAGTGCATCACAGACGGTAGGATTACATATACATATACACATCTGTTTATAGTTGTGAACTAACACGCTGTTTTGATGGTGCTTTTGGAAGGTGTTTTGGCTCAAACCTTTTTTCTTGCCTGACAGATCTCAAGCTACCTTTAAAAATATATCATACCTTTATGTGGTGTTTTAGAAACTTTGATGACAATGTATTTATTAATAGGATAGAGAAAGCCAATTATCGAAATGTTTTAATCAATGACAAAATGTCATGTAGATTAAGTCTTGCAGCGCAAGATTAGGCATAGTAAGTCTTAAAAACAATAATATATCAAACAGAGCAAATCTTAAAAAAAACAGCAAAATATTAGACAGATTAAGTCTTAAAAATATCCAAGAGTTTAAATTCTTAAAAAAATAAAATATCAGGCAAATTAAGACTTCAAGCCTTTTTTTTATCTTCTGTAGTTACACACTTCTTATGACATTTAGATACGCAGTAGCTTTGATAGATATTCCTGTTATAACATATCTGAATGAAGACAAGTATAAAGTAGAGTTTATAATATACACATCTCATCAAGCATTGCCTAGCCTATATGTTATTTGCAGTAAGTTTGTCGCACTTTTGTTTGTTTATTGGATTTAATGCAGAGTTACACAACGTTCATCTACGCTAACAGTCCCTAATGCCTGGCATGGCCAGGTGGTTAGGGCGCTCAACTCGCAATCGCGGATTCGAGTCCCCATCTCACCAAACATACTCACTCTTTCAGCCGTGGGGGTGCCATAAAGTGACGGTCAATCCCATTAGTCATTGGTAAAAGAGTAGCTCAAGAGTTGGCGGTGGGTGGCGACGACTAGCTGCCTTCCCTCTAGTTTTTTACTGTTAAATTAGGGACGGCTTGCGCAGATAGCCCTCGTGTAGCTTTGTGCGAACTCCCAAACAAACCAAACCGTCCCTAATTCTGATCGCTGACTCTTGGGCTACTGTTCTGAGACAGAATAGTGGGATTTTAATGTCACTCTTTTAACGCATCCAATGTCCCAAAGCGTGGATCTTGATTTTATTTTGCGGTAACAGGACGCGAACCGCGGAATATCAGCTCTACAGTCCAGCACGCAGACCACAGGGTCGTGCTCATTCAACTTATGAGAAGATATACCATTAAAACTAAACGTAACAATTACCAGAACAAAATAGATTTATGTAATTTATCTTTTGAACACGATACATAAATTAGTTTGGATGCGTGAACTTTAAACTTCAATGTAAGAAATGATAAGTATTATGAAAATTAACTGTTAACAGAGGAATATACATATTTTAAAGATGACGACCTTCCCATGGCTCAGAGAGATCCTAAGCCTATCGTCTTTGTCGTGGCAGCTTTTGGCGTGTTGTGCACGAGAACAATTTCCGATAAATATTATGAAAGTTAGCTGCTATTAGTAGAATGTATCTATTTTTAAAGATGGCGGTTTTACCATTGCCCAGAGAGATCCTAAGCCTATCGTCTCTGTCGTGGCAACTTTTGGCATGTTGTGCACGAGAACAATTTCCGATAAATATTATGAAAGTTAGTTGCTATTAGTAGAATGTATCTATTTTTCAAAATGGCGGTCTTACCATTGCCCAGAGAGATCCTGGGGTTATCGCCTCTATTGTGGCAGCTCTTGGCATGTTGTACATGAGAGCAAGCTCCCCAAAACTGCCCGAGTTTTCATACGTTCCGATCATCTTGCGATTCTCTTCTTCCGTAGAAACGTATATGCTGTAAATGCCACTAAATGAAAACGTAACACTGTTAGAGTCCTGTTAAGATTGGAATGGAGATCATATATCGACATCCTGATAAAAAGTTTTTGTTTTTATAAACCATACCATAGTAGAAAATCCCTCTGAATATTTACAGTTGTTTATTATCGATATCGACACTCCGAACTAGTGGAACAGAAACACGTTTATACCACCATTACATAGTTTATACCACCATTACATAGTTTATACCACTATTACATAGTTTATACCACCATTACATAGTTTATACCACCATTACATAGTTTATACCACCATTACCTAGTTTATACCACCATTACATAGTTTATACCACCATTACATAGTTTATACCACTATTACATACGTTCGAATGCTATGAAAAGTAACCTACAAATATAACCACTTATAAAATGTTCAGATCACATAGTTAGTTAATGAAGATACTATATTTTGATACAACTGCTAAAGTGAAGTCACGTTATTTTACAACTAGCTGGAGTACCCGTCCCCTGGACGGAACTTATGTAAATTCATGATTGATGAAAGGTTATCTTAAGACATGAAAAGTTGCTTCCCTTGTATGTAATTGTACAAACCGCAAAAATGTCATAAAAACTGCAAAATGAAAATCTCAAAAATTGTATGTATTCCTATGGAACCAATGAATCTCCATAACAAATTTGGTAAAGTTCGATCTTCAGGGAGCGAGATAGTGGTAAAAACGCTCATAAAAAATCGCAAAATGCAAAACTGAAAATTTGTACGTATGGACCTAATGAACCTACGTATACATTTTGGTGAAGATCCATCCATACCCTGCGAAGTAGTTACATGGATATACAATAGAAAGCATTATTATATTTATATAGACTTGCTGGAGTACTCGTCCCCTGGACGGAAGTTATGTAAATTCATGATTAATGAAATATTATCTTAGGACATGAAAAGCTGCTTCCCTCATATGTAATTGTAAAAAACGCCCCAAAAAAACCTGCAAAACACAAAATGCGAAACCCCAAGTTTGCATGTATTTCCGCATAAACCCAATGAACCTCCATACCAATTTTGTTGAAGATCCATCTACACCATACGAAGTAGTTACATGGACAGACAACAGATAGTACTATTATATTTGTATAAGTTTTACTAAGCTATCTTATCAGTATTGTTTTTAGCTATTTTAACAATGTCATTATAAGCTATTTTAACAATGGCATTATAAGCTATTTCAACAATAACCCTATAGGCTTTTTGTTAATAATACTATACTATTTTAACAATAACAACTGATACTATTTTAACAATAACAATATGTTATTTCCAAACCTAACGTAGCAAGTGCGAGAATCTTCTATATTTTAGTATTCTATAAATGTAATGCTTCCTGGTTTTAAGACACATACAATGTTAGTGTAAACAACGCTGACTGTTAAAAAAACAATGGAGATATACTCTAATGGATTGAGATCAACTCAGCTAATGTTCTGAACTAAAGCTGTTGGAATAAAATGATATCAAATTAATGTTGATATATATATATATGTACAGGCTGATGGATGAAATAATATATCTACATGTACAGGCTGGTGGATGAAATGATATATGTATGTGTACAAGCTGATAGATGAAATAATATATGTATGTGTACAAGCTGATAGATGAAATAATATATGTATGTGTACAAGCTGATAGATGAAATAATATAT